GGGTCCTGTCTCCATTCCATTTCCAGCAGCCAAACTGGATGAAACCTGCCAACCGGACTCAGGACCGCCTGTTTCTCGCCATAAAGAACACGGATCACACACACACAGCACATGAACAAAATGCTTCAAATGACACCCCCCACCCCCACCCCCCCAGCCTAAGGGGGCACCTCTGTCACACGAGCCAGGCCCACGGAGCTGAGCTGGACTTACAGAGCCGTCAACATCAGGACTAAAATCCTCCAAGGACTGATGACGGAGGCTCTCTGATCCAGGCGATCTTCAGGCCTTAGCTGTGACGCAGAGGTCAAAGGTCACGTGCACCTGGAGCTGGACGGTCAGGAGACACATCGTGACCAGGGAGACCAGCAACAAGGTTCAAAACGTTTCAGCCGGACTTTTATTTATCTGTTCTTTAGATTCCACCTGATTTTTGAAGAACGAAACATCAGAACCCTCCAGAAGTTCCTGGAGTCCAGATCCTCTTCAGACCGGTTTCCCAGAGAGGACTTGATCACTTCCTGTCTTTAGGTCCGACTGGGGGCCGTGTTGACAGGGAGGGGGTGGGGCTGGTCCATCTCCTCAAACTGGGTCAACGCTGAGAGGAATGAGAGGAATTTCCTGAGGAGCGATGATGACGGAGGTTCTCTGATCCAGACGAGCTTCAGGCCTTAGCTGTGTCGCAGGGGTCAAAGGTCACGTGCACCTGGAGCCGGACCGTCAGACAACACATCGTGACCAGGGAGACCAGCAACAAGGTTCAAAACGTTTCAGCTGGACTTTTATTTATCCGTTCTTTAGATTCCATCCGATTTTTAGAAGAAGGAAACATCAGAACGTGTCTCAGGCAGGAATATAATCTGTAATTTATGGAGTCAGATCAAAGCTGGATGTAGAAATGTTCACAGAAACTGTGAAAAAAGTCCAGCTCAGACTTCAGAACCATCAGTCAGAGTCTAAACGGGTCACAGGAAGTGAGACTTTTCATGACTGGACTATTAAAAAAGGCCTGGTACTTCCTGTAGGGTTTCACACCACCTGCCAGTCTTAGGCCACGATCGGCTCATGTTCCAAATGAAACATTATCAAACACAAATACGGCTGCGAATCCATCATTTAGTGTGGTAGTCTCTGAGAGTCATCCCCAACGTACACTCCGAGCGCCGACTGATCGCACGTGATGTTCTTCTGTAAGGTTTGAGCCAAGCAGCTGCAACATTTGTATTACTGTCAGTCAGATCTTATACATTTGATGCATGTTTATTTTTTTATTCTGATTTAATCTGGAGCCTAATTCTGTGAGACAGTGAAGATTATCCGTCGTGTGTGGATGGCACGTCATGGACATGTTAATCTGCCTCGGCCTGACAAACAAACAAACAAACAAACAGATAAATGAACTCAACGTGGCTCCCAGCAGGTGTAAGGAAAGTTCAATTCAATTCAAAAATACTTTATTAATCCCAGAGGGAAATTATTTGTTGTTGTAACTCGTTATCCTCATTTCATTAAGAGATGTTTTAGATGCTGATGGCTGTAGGCAGGAAGGATCTCTTGTAAAGGTCCATCCCACAGTGGATCCTATGATCCGTCCACCCAGACTCGGCTGGCCTCTCGGTTCCCTCGGGCTGTAGGACCGCCCAAATGCCGGGCAGAACTCCTCCCAGAGCAATGGCCACTCCTCCCAGCAGTCTGCCGAGCTCCTCGTCGCTGCGGACAGCCAACTGTAGGTGCAGAACCTCCTCCTGCAGGAACCACCAACTTCCTGAACCTCCAGCCTTTTGGTTCCAGCAGGAACCAAACCAGAAGCCCAAGTCAGGTGGCTTTGAAACGCCTCCTTTGACTCTTGTTGGTGTGTTTCTGCCGGCCGCCCTGACCACCAGCAGTCCAACACAAAGCCCTCCAACCTCCTTTTGAGAAGCATGGTCAGGAACCACCAGCAGTCCAACACAAAGCCTCCAACCTCCTTTAGAAACGTGTGGTCAGGAACCAGCAGAGATGATTAAATTCTCCACGCAACGAGTTCAAAAGCAATAAAAAATGAAATGAAAACAGCAAACACAAAGAGCTCATTGTTGCTGGATGAAGGAATGCCAGGGTGTGTGTGTGTGTGCGTGCGTGTGCGTGCGTGTGAGGAATGTTAGTTTGCATGAACACAAAGCCGACTGTGGCAGCGAGGAAGAGGCACACGGAGGGAACAGGCTCTGAACGTTTCAGATTTTAAGTTTCTGATCAGCCCAGTTGACATTCGTCATCGTCACACACCTAAACACTCATCCAGCCGTGTGTGTGAACACACACGCCTACGTCCTCATTTCCTGTATTCCCCAGTCACCTGATCTCTGACCTTTGAGGGGGCGTGGACAGATTTATGACCCTCGGCTTCCTCTGGTTCTGTGTGATCTTCTCCCTGAAGGAGCAGAAACATTTGGAGGAAAACCACATCAACAAACCACTTTCAGAGTAACGACTGTGGATCTGAGTCTCTGGAGGTTTGAGAATCCTAAACTAGAAAGAGGGCGGCACGGGGGTGCAGTGGTTAGAGCTGACAACTCAAAAGGTTGCAGGTTTGCTTCCCGGCCTCTCTGGGTGGAGTTTACATGTTCTCCTTATGCAATAAATCTCAGTCGGGTCATCAGGACAGTTTCTGGACAGAAACAGTGAGAAACTGTCCAGATGACCCGACTGAGGTTTCTTGGATTTGGCACCTGGATGATTGAGCATGAACTTTGTTGTTCTGCTTATGGATTCCTCCCACAGACCCAAGACACACGTTAGGTTGAATGACCTGAGAGTGAGAGTGGTGAGTGTCTTATCTGTCTCTGTGATGGACAAACACATGTCCAGGTGTCTTCTGTCTCTTGCACAGTGACTGCTGGATATGGGCACCAGTGACCCCTGGGACCCGAAAAGGAAGGAGAAGGGAAAGATAATGGATGGATGATAGATGGATAATGGATGGATGTATAATGGATGGATGTTGGATGGATGGATGTATAGATGGGTATTGAATGGACTGATAGATGATGGATGGATGTTGGATGTATGTATGTTGGGTGTATGGATGGATAGATGGGTATCAGATGGACTGA